TCAGCAGTTCAGCTGCTGCAAAGCTGATTCACTGGGAGGCCTCAATCCTTCCAGGCCCTAAGGAAATTATTTTTAAACATGGCCCATATATTAGAAACAGACTTTGACAGTGTTAAAATAAACAGCCCTGATAAGAGCATTTGAATCCCCCCCTGCAGCTAATAGGTGGGAGAGGGTGAGACTGAGCGACAGCTGTCTGGATGGGACGGTAAACACACACCATGATAGATCAGTAAACTGGGGGCTGACAGTGGCAAGAAGACATTGCATAGACAACATCTGCTCCCATATTCAGAGGTGGAGGCTACATGTGGAGACACCACCGCTGCAGTCAGGCGCCAGCATGTAACTGTCTACCTGAGGCCAAAAACAGTGCTGCTGGTTTGGATTTAATTAGCCTGGAACGAGAAGAGTGTCAAAATGCTTTGCCATCATTAGGCTAAAGCAAAATATGTATAGCAGACACTGAAATGCAACGTTAAGTTTCAGTGCAACAGACCGTGGTGTGGCAGAGCAGCAGAGGAGGCTGCTGTGTCTGTTTCCAGGGCTGTTTACATACATTTCTATGCATTTTCTATCTAAAAAGGAATCATTAAAATGCCTAATAAATAGCCTAAATGGTTGAAACAGTTTAAAAAGATAGCCAAAGAGTTACTGTGGATCTGGTATAACCCACCATCTAGTTTGGATTAAAACAGGCCTGACCACAAAGTGCAGCCTGAAGAACTGTGACAGACTCAGGATGACATGTAGAAACAATGTCTTTATTGAGAAGGTAAAGAAAAGCACAGGAACACCCAGTTCAGCCAGCTCACCATCAGTCAAACAAACCAGGTTCCTCTTTTTACATCTAATGCTGTCTCCAGTAGAAATACATGACGTCATTAATAACATCCTCAGCACACTGGTGACATGCAAACTACCAGAGCAAGCTGGAATGCTGCCTCTGCAGATTTACTTAGGTAAGCAGATTTGGTTTCTGCATATCAAACCTTCACTCAGGTATTAGGCTGCCTCTCCACTGTCATTATCATACCAGATCCCGTGCATTCAGGCCAGTTGTCTATTTTACATTCATTATTATTTCTGCAGGACTTGATACGGTATTATATACCACATGGCATGTAGACAGCACAGTACGGCATCACAGCAACTGACTAATGCATGGATTACAGCCACCTAGGTGATTGACAAGAGTAGCGGGGTGGTGGTGCAAGAACACTGTGTCCTCTGGTTAATGATGATGTGTCAGATTCGTGCACAACTGTTAAATCTCTGGGGGTTTCCTACGGTAAGTGAAAGTCTTCACACACCTTATGTCTATTACTGAGCCAGACAAAGCACATAAAATACCTGACCTAGTAAAAAAAGAAAAAGCTATCACCTTGTTAGCTGGCAGTAAAAATAGGTGCAACTGTTATGTGATGCTATTAGGAAATGTAGTCTTCTTACTGAAGTCAGAGCCCTTGCACAACGAGGATTTAAATGCTTTTAGAATATACTGCTGTGGCACTTTCACTAGCATTTAAAGTCGTGGCTGTTATTCAGTCCAATAACTGATGAAGCGTTTATGTATCTAACTGTTTACAGCCACATAGATTAGATCTGACATGTGCTGATAATGATGAGAGTTTAGGTCTGTGTGGGGAGGTTAGTCAGAGGAGCACGATCACGAGAGAGACTTTGTATATTAGGATCTAGACAGTTAACTCACAATGTGTTACCACCTGTTGCTCCTCTCTACCAGTCACTCCCACTCCCCTCTGTGTTGTACATCGTGACTGAGCGTTTACGCAGCACAGAGTTCCCCTTCCTGCCGCTCCGGGCCTGCAGCTTGGTCTGGCAAGGGGCCCGGTACTGAGGCAGACCGGTCTTGGTGGTGTCCAGCTCCTCCGGGTTGTCCTGCTGGGCCTTGAGGGCAGCAATCACATCCTTGTCCGAGGGGCTGAGGGTCAGGCAGCCACAGGGACGACGGCTGTCACCCTCCGCTCTGACCTCTCCAGCCTCTCCCACATCTCCTGGCTCATCCTCCACAGTCATGAAAGCATCACCCCACAGGCCCTCGCACAGATCCCTGCCATGCTGGTACATCTACACACACAGCAGAAGTTTAGGAACATGAAGAGATACCACTCCCCGCTCAGAACAATGGGTAACCACCATGGCTGAAAGAAGTACTCAGATACCTATTTAAAAATACCTGCAAATTCTACAACACATGTAAACACACTCATATCAAACCCACTCACTTTCTGCATGTTACTGTGCTGTAAATTTCATTTGACATGGGCAATATTGCATACTTTGCTCACCCGTCTACAGCCAATAACCCGTAATGACAAAGTGAATTTTTGCACATTTATTAAATGGACATCTCTCCTTTCCAAAAGTCTCCAGAGTCTCTGCTGTGGCTCCACACTAAGCCCAGCTACATCCTGTCTGACATGAGTCCTATCTTGACTGGAGTCCACCTGTGGCAAACTGAGCCGACTGGACACACTGTAGAAAGACACACACCTGTGTCAGGTGTTACCTGCAAAATGTATTGAAATAAAAGGACCCACTGTGCAGAAAAACATTTTAAGAGATCAGGATTTTAGGGTCCTCCTATTAACAGGTTACAGCTATTATTACAACTACATGGTGACTTTCTGCAAATCTCTGCTTATTTCTGCTCACCTCCGATCTAAAAACACCTGACATGGTTTGCAGGGTCTTTAATCTGTGCTATATATACTGTAAGTTGATCGTTATGAATGTATAATAAAAGGAGGTAGAACCTCTACAGTAGCTGTTAGATATGTGTGGTGAAGTAAAAAGCACGTTCTCTGAAGCATACACATTCTTTGCTTGAAAACATCTACAGAAATAATTGGCTTTGGCCTTTCAGGGCATGTCCAGCCTGGAAAACAAGCACCCTGCACCAGGTGTGACAGGAAGCCGCAGGTACACGGCAGCCGCTCCTGCTCCTCCCCCAGCCCCTGGAGCAAATTAGAAGAACTGACCTTGAAAAGCCCATACTGATCTCTGAAAGCCTCGGCCTGTCAAGGACACACGGAGCTACACTAATGACAAAAGTCACTATAAACTGACGGACGGAGCCGTGTAGGAATTCCTATGTACCTGACAACAAATTCATCCCTCAAGTCTCTACCAAGTGACACTGAGGAAAAACTCCAGTCACTGCTGACATTAGCTCAGTGGTTTCTGACATTAGCTCAGTGGTTTCTGACATTAGCTCAGTGGTTTCTGACATTAGCTCAGTGGTTTCTGACATTAGCTAAGTGGTTTCTGACATTAACTCAGTGGTTTCTGACATTAACTCAGTGGTTTCTGACATTAACTCAGTGGTTTCTGACATTAGCTCAGTGGTTTCTAACATTAACTCAGTGGTTTCTGACATTAACTCAGTGGTTTCTGGAGCATGAAGAATTCCACTGCTCTCTTGTAAGACACATGTAGATTAAAAGGCGTAATGCATTACACAAAACAAATCAAAATATAAGCTTTTTAGCTGTGCCTGCTTGCTCAGAAGCAGTTAGCAAAACTAATTAGTGATGTTTCATTGACACACAAGCTGTGCTGAAGTGTCCATTCTCTCTGGTGACAGCCTCATAAGCAGTCATTAAGATGTGCTGCCAAGCCACCATCTCCTACTATAGCTCACATTCGCTTGCTGTTTGAACTGTTTATCTCCCTGTTTCTGTGTAGCACACCCCCACCCCAGCTTCCTCCTACCCGCTGGGGGATTAACACCGAGTCACACTGGGTGCTCAAACAAGAGGCTGTAATATATTTATCATGTTCGAAGGACAAAGAGGATGATTTCCCTCCACTACACAGTACACTCCCTGTCTTAGGTCTTCTCTCATAACACACACACACTTTTATCCTTCCCCAGGCGCATGTGGTTTGCTGCCAAAGCAAATTCAGCACAGGCTCAAGTGGCTTTAGACGCCATGGTGTGATCGAAGAAGTAAGATGGAGACATTTCCCGTGGCCGTTTTCTGTCCTCGCCAGCCCCATGTTATTCAGCTCTGTCTGAAACCTGTGACATTACACCTGGTGTGATACAGGAAACAGAAAAGAGAACAGCCTTCCATGTAGCTGGGGGTAAAGGTTGGAATATCAGGACAAAAGGCTTCATGTTTATGTAACCAAATAGAAAAGACCCCATTTAAGAACTCATATACGACTACAGCAGTGATAAACTGAAACATCACTAGGTTTTTATAAGATTCCTAAACAAGATGCAATTAGTAGAGTAGATAGCCTGGAAAGGAATGCTTTCTCAGTGGCAATAGCAGCAGGACCACAGGGTAAAAATACTTGGTTACAAGTACAAAAGTATCAGTATCAAAATATACTTAGAGCAGTCGTCCTGCAGAACAGCCCGTGTCCCAGTAACGTCTCTGATACTGGATCATAGTGACTGATGCGTTACTGTGTTCATCACTTTAATGCTGCAGCTGGTAAAGATGGAGCTGATGTAAAAGCTACTGTGAAAGGAAACTGAGTAGAAGTTGAGTAAACCACCCCATCTCTGCTGGCTGAGGAGGAAACAAAGCTCCACTGTGGCTTCTCTGAGAACCCATTTGCTGAAGGTGCTAAATGTGGCCACTCATTTCTTTGTACTCAGGAGCAGTTTCAAACACTGTTCTGGAGCTGCCTACATCTAACTGGAGCCAATTTTGCTCCATTAGCGACGTCCTACATGGAAACGGACCAATACAAGCTCACATATCACCAAAACACGGTGACACACATATTTACACACTCAAATATTCTCTCTCAGTACAAATCTGTATTTTGCAGGAGTCAGCTAACAGGGCTAATGCTGTCTGTGGGTGTGAGAGACAGACACACTGGGTAGATTAGCATCAGAGACAGACAGATGGTCACTCTGTCTCTTTCTAAATCACCAGCTGGCCTATACCCAGTGGAGCAGGACTGGACCTTTTCTTGCTTCAGCCCTAACACTGTTAACCCTCTCTAGACCGCTTAGCAGCCAGCCACCCTCCTGCCACGCTCTTAATTAATGAGTAACTTCAAGTCTCTATATAAGTTAAATGGGCAAGTTATATAAAATGTGTGCCCTGAACAGTTGAGGAAAGGGGAAGACCAAAACCTGTAAACGTCTTTATTTCTGCTGTAAAGTTGGGCATTTTAACACGGGTTTATGGAGACTGACTTCCTTATGATGCCCGCCTCTAGTGGTCGTTCGAGGAACTGCAGGTTTTGGCACTTGCGCATTGGCTTTCTCTCGACATTGGAGGTCGCAGCTTGGTTGCTCCCAGTGGCTGTCCCACTGATGGGTGGGTATGTGTGCTTGACAGTGCAAATGGGTGAATGGGCAAACAGTGTGAGGAGTCATTTACAACATCACCACACAATGATGAGCTTCAGTAACAAAAAGTCGAGACAGAGTGATAAGGAAAATGACGAGATTAGCTACATGTAAACACCCATGTTACTGTAAATGACAGGCACAAATAACTGTTTTGGTGACGTCATGATGCATCAAATAATCACCTTAAATTGTTTTGGTCATTCAACCTCAAAAATTACTCTAATGCTCACCTCTGGGGACCAAACTAATTAACAAGTCTATGTCATGTCAACATGCAGTCATGGGTGTGCCACATCCCAACCTACCTGCTGATACTGAACACAGGTCCCAGTGCAGTTTTCGCCCCTAGGGTCTCTGGCCCAGTTACGAGCACATGTCACATCCATCCTGCAAGCATCAAACCTGAAGAGCAGGCATATAAACTCTTAAAATAAAATATCAGACTAACATTTTACTGTAATTCCTTTATTCACAATGTTTACTAGAGAACCCAGGTGGCAAATGTTTATGTGAGAAACACTGTGGTGTAAAAGGAATAGTCTGACAGACACCACTGTCATGTCTGTGTATGAAGTGTGAAGCTACAGCCAGCAGCTGGTTAGCTTAGCTTATCTTAGCATAAAGTACGAGAAATGGGCACCAGCGCCTCAAAAGCTCATTAGTTAACATGTTACATCTCGTCTTTTTACTCTGTACAAATGCAAAGTGTAAAAACAACCAGCTGTGGTTTAATGGGGGGTTTGTTCCAGACTACTTCTTGGCCAAACATCTTCTGGAGTCCTGCCCTAAGCTAAGCTAATTGGCTGCTGGCTGTAGCTTTATATTTGCCATACAAACATGAGACTGGTGGAGATCTTGCCATCTGACCTTTGACATATAGTCTTTAAACTTACATTTCATTATAGGAAAGTGCAAGTTTCCTGTTTGCACATGACATTACAAGACACTTCGTATTTTCTTTCATGAAAGCAACTAAGAGTTTTGTCTCAGGGACATGCAACCATCAAATGAAGCTGTTTGTCATTGTGCTGGGTCCCCTGGGAGTCCAGCTGGACTGATTATGCAACCTTGATCTGTCACACAGTTTTATGTTGTTTACTGGACACCGTCTTAGCATAGATAGCACTGTTTGTTGTTGCAACCCTGGCTGTAATCACCGTCTCTACAGTCTCATCGGTGCAGAGGGACACATACTGATTCTGATGTAGGATTGTTCCAGTGTGTTTGGCAGCCTCACCATTCACGGCAGAAGCTGTGGCAGAGTGGCACAGCCTGGAAGTATGAGCGGCGCCGGGGATGAGGCCAGCGAGCAGCATCGGGGGAGCAGCGGTAAAAACACAAAATGCGCTTCAGGAAGCCTTCACACCTGAGGAGTGAGAGGGCAGCAGTCAGTGCTGTTACAGCTTTAACTCTTGAGCTGCTTTCATGTTTATGTGGATAGCTAGAGCCTCCGCACCCCTTAAAAGAGACGGCCCCCAAACTACACAGTGTAATTTGCACACTGCACTTAATGCTATACAATAAAAAAGTAAAACCACTGTGGTTACGTTAGCCACAGGTTACAAGCTAAAAGCCTACAACGCCTGTCTCTCGCCTGTGAGCAGCAGACCCCTGGTCAGAGTCCAGGGGTGAACGAGCTGCAAACATAAACTGCTAAATGCCTTCCACTCCTGCATCTCATCCTGATACACACTGGCCTTACATGGGGGAAGTGGTGATGGGGAGCTGGGGGAGTGCGCTAATTTTAATATTCACAAATCTGGGAATTCACAGTGAGGAGCAAATGCCAGATGTGTGTTAAGGTCCTTTACAGAGGTTCACTGAACTTCTGTTTTTTAGGAAAACAGTCTGTTAGACTACATATTGTTTATAGTAGAGTATTTTTATATGCATTAAAATGTCTCCACAGAGGAACTTTAAATATCATCCTACTTGTCCACCTAAAGAAACGCCCCTGGTGGTCAGAGGTACAAATAACATAAATGCAAAAACCAACCAACTGGGTCCTACTATAGATTAAACAGGCTATGATCCAGAGTCCAGATGAGCAGGACATCTGCTGGTTAAGACTTACTCAGAGCTCAGAGCCCCACATGTGTCCCATGTTTCATTCTCACTGCTAGCAGAGGGAACATGAGAGATGTCCTGGATGTCTTCTTCCGTGCAGCAGCTGTCTGTGGGCGGCAAGGACAGGCAAACCTTTCACCCATCGGCCAGTCAGGAGAATCACTGGTATTTTCATATCACTACACATTGTTTCCAGACAAACGCACACCGTCACTCACTGTCAGAGTAGAGCGCACACTCTCTCAGGTGCGGCTCTGGGCCGGGTGTGGCCTTGTGTGTGCCATCTTGAAGACACACCCCCTCTGAGCAGGTTCCACCAATTAGCACAGCTGCCAAATATACGCAAACCAATAGCAGAGGGCGACAGGTGACACCCATCTCTACAGCCACAAACAGGTCTGGAAAAGAATTCAGCACACTGGACATTTTTACCTGAGTCACCAGCAAAAAATTAAAGACACCATGAGAGATAACGCACAAGTCTAATTGTCCCACAGTTCATTTGTCCAATCCTAGGAGCACTTTGTCATAAATCAACACTTGTTTACCTTAAATCAAGGTCAATCTAAACTCAGAATAAACATACTCCTTCCAAAGTAAAGATATAACTACAGTCTGAGAGGTCTTTCCCTTCATATCTTGTCAGATTTAGTCCAGCTTGTTTGACACTAGGGGGGTAGTGACATCTGACTAGGGCCCCGAGATGTTCAGACACGGCTCTGCTGTGGAAGTAAAAGCCACAGAGGTGCTTTCGCGCCCCCTGGTGTCCACAGTAAGACACACAGTGTCTATTCAGATCTGGCGATGTAGTCAACAGCCTAATTAGGAGCGGCTGAGGCGCCGTGATCAGATTAGGGACATGCGTAGTCCTTTAATCTGACAAGAGGCTGCCTGAGGTGTAGCACGACTTAAATACATCTGATGCCCTGGACTGGCCCGGTTGTATAGACCACAGATAGACGGCAAACTGCAGAAACATTTGTGAAACTTTGGCACATTGTAACCGCATCTATCCAGCATCAATCTGTAATCGATACAACTGATTAGGTGTGCTCAGTCTTTTCAGTTTTCACCTGCAGGTTATTCTGCCATAACGTGATGTACTGAATGTGAACGGTGGCTAGAAAAGGTATCAGTGGACACAAACACATGAAGACTAAGTCACAAGCCAACAGTGACATTAAATCACACAAGGAACCTAAAGATCTCAGAGCCGATTAAACCTTTACAGTTAACAGTGTAATGCTGCTGCTCACTAGTGAGTTTACGGCACTTCGTGGTATTTTTCATTTCCTGTAGCAGTTGTGGAGAAATATCTTTAGATCATTTATAATAACAAACATAATAATCTGATCATATCGGTTCTTATCTACTAGTCTCTGACCGCACGAACCTGTTGTGTATGATCCTACGTCCTTTCAGACGAAGGACCAGATGTTGCTTGATGTGTCCGCTGATGGTTCATCTTCTTACCTGTCACTGGGTGAAGGATGCTCGGTTTCCTCTGCTCGATGCTCCAAGAGTCGGTGCGTGTTTCCTCTCTGTGTTCGTGGTGTGCCCGTGGATCCAGCGGCCGCGGGCGATGCTCTCTATATCTATCTCTCGGTCTCGGTCTCTCTCTCTCTCTCTCTCTCTCTCTCCCTCCCTCCCCCTCTCTGTCGCCCGGGGGCTCGCCACTTCGTCGCCCGTTTATATGAAGGACATTTCGGTCCCTTCCATCAGGGTGCTCACCCCCTCCCTCTGCCCCATGCTGGGAAGTCCTCTTTCTCTCCCCTCCCTCTCCTCTGCGCGCACTCACGCACAGCGGGCTCCCGCACTGTTAATGAGATATTTACCAAGTCCTCCATGTTGACAGCCTCTCTTCCTCAGGATAACACTGTAAAAATAACAGTTCCCAAGTTAAATCCCTTCTCACCAGGGATGCGCTGCCCTTGGGTGTGAGGATCGTTCACAGGTGCTGCTGAGTCACACCTGTCCTGTCCTCTACCCTGAGGCCACGGGGTTAGAGCAGGGTGCAGCTGAGAGGACAGGAAACCAAACACCACGCACTCACAGAGCAGAGGCTTCATCTTTATCATACGGACACAGCTCAGACCAGCAGCTGTCTGAACGCGCTCTGCGTCATCTTGCCAGCAAAAGGTGTAATCCCTAAAAGCCTGCAGGGCCGAATGGGGTCACATGGACCCCGTGTGTGCCATATTTTTAGTCTCACTTCAGGCTTATTGGGCAAGATAATCCCCTCTCTTTCCCCTAAGTGCCCCCCCAAGGATTTTGGCCACGCAGCAGAGCAGATGGACACCGTCTTATGACCTAGATACGGCCCCAGCGAAGCAAGACTCTCAAACTGGTGATATGCCTTAGACATGATTGGTAACACTGGACATGATGTGGGCACTGGACAGAACCAGACACACTGAGTACAGATGAACTGGCCTCAGCGGAGACAACTCAGGCTGAATGAGCTGCAGGACGAAATGCCGTCTCGCCCAGACCCTGTTGTCCACCAGACGGTTTCATAGCTGCCGAGGGCCAACACCAAAGAGCACATTAGTTCTGGGGCTGAGCGCAGAGGAGTGGGAGACAAACGACTCTCCACCTCGTAATTAGAGGAGGCATAATGATATCCTTTGTGCAAGAGCTATTCGGGGAACAGACAGACAAAGCAGGCCATCAGTGCTCTCTGCGGGCCCTTGTTCTCATTTAACAAGGCAGGGTCACTGCTGATAAACTGGCCCTTTGCAGGAAAACACGGTAACGCCTCCTGGAAGACTCGCTATGTTCTGCCATTTACGGTTTCTTTGATTTGTTCCACTGAAAACGGGTTGATCCCTGTATTATCAGCCAACAGCAATGAAGCTCCACCGTACGTGTTAACGCGCACGCTCGCTGAGCCCGATGGCCATGATGTATTTTATTATGGAAGTGCAGCATGTTTCAGGATGTTTAGTTGTTTTCGTACTTCAGTAAATGTCATTTAATGTTAATTTTCACTTCCACTGTCGGCACAGCAGGGGGCGCCAAAAACGTGTCGGCCAGCGAATGACGTCACCAGAGGAAATGAAACATGGCGGATAGGGAGTGATAGAGGGCGAAAGTTAGCGATGTGCGTTGGCAAAATCTGCTCAACTCACCGTATTCGATGCAGGTATTTGGACTTTGCGTTGCGTCGAGTCTGTATCTTTATTTGTGGATGAACCCTACGCATGAGTGTGTTCGTTTGTTAAGGCGTTAGCAATTCGGGCAGTAGCCCGCTGTGTTAGCCACGTTAGCATCCTGCCTTTGTTTTTGTCAGGGTTTATGCGCCACAAAGCTGAAACCGTGAAGCCTCTAAGCTTTTTATATTTCGGCTTGTTTCTTAAGAACTACATTTTTCTAAATCGGACTGTGTATTTCTTCAGTTTAACCCCAGAGCTTTTGTATTATACCGCGGGTGGGGTCCAGCTCTTCGTGGAGCGTGCTGCCAGTCTTGTTCCCTAAAGGCCAGAACACCCTTCTTACAGACGGACACATCCGGACTGTTTATGACCATTGCACCAAGGAAACATGGATCCAAAGCGCGCGCACGGCAAACCTGAATCTAGTGGCAGTAGCAGAGATGTTCAAGAAGAAGATGGAAGACGAGAGGAGGAAAAAGGAGACGCAGCAAACAGGTGGAGATGCGAGAGCCACCGAGCAAGGACAGACCTCAGTGGAAAAGAAGGCACCTCCCGTGACGAGCTTTGTAAGGGGTTTGGTTGTAAGATGAGCTAGCTGCAGTTTAACACACACAAAGTGAAGCAACACGCACTGATCGACAGGCATACTCTCACCGGCTCTGAGCACACCCTGAAGTAATAGCTCACATTTTCAGTATTAATTGCCTGTATGATTGTTACACATATGACAGTGCTTGTGTTGTACTTGCATTATGCTACAACGGTAGCTCAGTAAAGACTAGGGATGCTCCTCACTGATGATGGTTTCGCTGGTGGTGCGGCAGGAGACTAAGTGTAGACTTCTGCTCTGGTGTAGTCTCCTTCATTGGCAGCCCATGTGCTAGGGCTCCTATAACGGTTTCAGTCTTCTATCCCCTAACCCAGGTGGGGAAGCGCAGAGGAGGGGTGTTCCTAAAGACCGGCATGGTTGCAAAGAAGCAGAAACAGGACACAGAGGTAAGTGTGCTGGGGTTGGTGGTGTCAACATGACTGTGTGCTTCTGACTCCCACTGCTGATCACCTGTGCCTCCTCTCCTGCAGGCTGAGCCAGGCAAGAGTGATGCTTGGTCAAAGTACATGGCTGAGGTGAAAAAGTACAAAGCCCACCAGTGTGGCGACGACGATAAAACCAGGCCTCTGGTCAAGTAGGTTCTGAGAGGTGAACGTGAAGCAGCAGTGTTAGAGGAGGAGACGATTTGGGAGCAGCTCTGGCCAGTCCCGACCTCCTCAGCATAAGTTGGCCTTCATGATACGTCTTTCACAAACTGCTGAGAACGACTCACTTGCTTTCCTTTTTGCATTGTTTCTTATTTGTTGGACTTTGTGATTTGATCTGGTGTCAAAAGGTGCTTCAGAAATTTGGCATACATTACTGTTAAGTCTTTTCAAAACTGTCATGTCTTCGTTATGTTAGGGTTCATTAAAGGACAGTGCTGGTGATAAATGTTTCTTTCCCACATCCCCGTCCAGAGACCAGCAGCACCAGTGAATGTGGTGTCCTCACCGTAATGTGTGCGAGTCCAGTTCTGGTCCAGCTCATCGCTCTGTGCCGTAGACCTCCACTGCTGTCCACCAGCTATGAATCCCCTGGACTCACACACGTTACGCTGAGTACACCACACTGATTGTTGCTGCTAGTTTTTGTGGAAAATAAATGCTACCAGCCATCTTTTAAATCTTACCAAAACTGTCATGTCTGGGTTCTGTTAGTGTTGTGATTGAATTTGATTTAATAGCCAAATCAGGGTTTAAATTAAATGGCCCCTGCCCATTTGTGTGTGCTGCCTCTGTTTTGTTACACTTCCTTTGGACTTGTATGACTTCAGTTTCACACATGAGCCAGTTGTGTCACAGCAAACTGTGAAGGGAAAGACTTTAATTAAAAGCAGGTTTGAGTTCTATACAGAAACGAATTCATTCAAGAATTCATGTTCAATGAAAAAGTGTACAGCTCTCATTGGGGGAAAAGCTCAAACTCATCACTTTGCTGTTTACATTTCTTACAGGTATCAGTGATAATTACATTGTGATAAAAACAGCACCAAATAGACACTGACCATGCATCAGAGAGGGAGACGTACAAAGGCGCACCAGCCAAACACAGTCACTCACACAACCTGTCACTCAGCTAAAAATCCCAGTCACCCCTTCTCCCTGTCCACAGTGATAAAGGTCTATTCTGTAAACATTTCATTTAACAGTTCTATGAAGAATAGTATTTAAAAACTATCAACTCATTTAAAAAGCTGTGTTCATAAGAACTTGAGCTGAGCTCCTCGGATCAAGTGTAAGCCCGTCTGTGTTTCAGACCCTGTTACCAGTGGTCAAAGCTCCGTCCTGACTTGTCCCAACACCTGGTTTCATGAGACGGCGTCCACTAGGTGGAGACATCCAGCTGTGTCACAGGGTCTTCCTCTTGGTGTCTCCTCCCTGGCTTTGACTGACATCTGGACAGGAATAGCACAGTTCTTCAGATGTCAGTAAAAATCAGCAACAGACCAAAAGAAAAAAATAACACTTATAAAACTCTTATTACAGAGTTTGGACAACGGCTAAAAGACTACATAACAACGCATGCTGCCACCAACAGACAACAGGACCAGACACAAAAGGACAACCTGAGACTGGAGACACCAGAAAAAAAGGCAAGACAGGGAGTAAATGGAGCAGGATTGGCAGGGGGGAGGGAGGGTCAGATTTTACCTGAGAAAGCGAGCTGCAAGTGAGGAGGCAGAGCAACCTGAGACCCTGACTGGAGACTCTTATACAGATCTGAGGAGACAGGACAGGGAGGGAGGAACACATACCGACAAAACAGGCAGGAAAGGGAGGAGAAGAAAGGTGTGGAAAAGGAGCAAGATGGCACAGAGGTAGAGGACAGGTGACAACAGCCAAACAGAGGAGGGATAAAGACAGAGGCCAAGTGAGCGACAGCACAGGGTTGAGAGGAACGTAGGGAAATGAGACAAGTGGAATCATGTCAAAAAGGAGAAAAATCACAGGTTTACATCAGACACAATATGGCGATAAAACAAATGATGCTCTAACATACAACACACAATGGGCCTGCACAGGAACAGATGACAGCAGAGCAACATACAAGGAGCGTCTGTCTAAAGCCCCTTTCAGACCCGGAACCAGATGTGAGAACACACATGTCCGAGTCAGTCGACCCGGACGTTAAGCAGACCCTACCCTGTTGCCTCCCTGGTACAAAGTGAGCTGATGTGAGAAAAACGCACAGTCCAGAGGATTCATACCGATGTTCTATCATGTGACTGGCACGAAAGAAGGTGTTCGTGCCAGAGTCACCGGGCAAACAAAGAAGACAAACACCGGGTGGTGTTCGTGCCAGAGTCACCGGGCAAATTTAAGGAACGCCAAGAGATTCGCTTGTTTATGACCAAATTACAAACTGAGCAGTTTGGGAGGAAACGGGGCCATCTGACCATCACACACACCACCTGGTTGTTATTCTTGTGCGCACGTGGCTCACATTTCAGTTCCATCTGTGCCTGTGTGGCAGCTTTAGGAGCTCAGTGGTGTTCACACCGGAGCCGGGTACACGGCGCTGACACACATGAACAGGAAGCAGCGACGCACACACATCAGAGCTGAGAGCTAAGGCCTGGGACGTGGACGCAGCCTAATGTGAAAAAATATCAAACCACGTCAACCTATGCTTTTACACACTATTATACTGTTCCATCACCAGTTGAATCTAATCTGAACATGAGAATGGAGCAGCTGTGTTTCTGCCTGTGTGCATCACTCACTCTGGGTCAGGCTGGAGAACGGTGCATTGCTACTGGTCGAGGAGCCGCTGGCTGCTGTACTGGAGCCTGCTGTTCCCAGGGGGGGCAGGTTTAGCAGGGAGGGGAACTGGAAGGGCAGGGACACGGGCACCAGACCCCCCAGCATCCCAAAGCCCAGGGGAAGAGACGAGGCTGAGCCGAGCAGAGTCCCGCCGCCCGCTGTGGACACCTGAATACAAACGTTAGATCATACAAGTGTTTTTACGGACTGATCGCTGTGCCAGAAGACACACTATGTATATCCAACCAAAAAATAAGGTTAGAGCAGTGGCGTGGACACCCCGCCACAGACAGAAACCCACCCTCTGATTTCTACTGGTCATCCATATTACAGTAACACAGTTCAGTCTCCAGGAGCGACACGAGAACCTGAACCAGTGACTGGTAGTTTAGTCTGAACAATTACTTCTTCGTGAAAGTCTGACTTCTTCCTACTCCGTTCAAACATGTACTAGGTATAAGCACATTGATATTGGATTAGCATTTGTTGGATATGTGTAAAATTATGTGTGTTGACATATCGACTGTCTTTACATGCTTGAAAGAATAAATCAAATCAAATGAAAGTAGCTGCTGATTAGTTTTCTGTGGACCAACTAATTGATTCATGGAATTATTTCAGCTCAGTAACTTAACACAGGAAGTTTTCTATGTAGAATCTGCTGAGAGAAGGAACAGCACTAGTGGAAAGTAACTAAGTACATCTACTCAAGTACTGTGCTTAAGTACAATTAAGGTTTTAAACCTGCTGCTGCTACAAACCTGTGGCAACTGAGAAGAGACAGATGAGGATGAAGCAGCTGTGACTGGCTTGGCCCCCTGAGGTGTCCCACCCCCAGGCCTCTGACGCTGGCCTGGGTTGACAGAGGCCGCTGTGGGGGAGGCACTGGATCCTGAAAGCTTGCTTATGGATGAGGTGTTAATAAGGCTGGTGCTGGTGGTGCTGATGTTGCTGGGGGTCTTCTGGCTGCCTGGAGGAGTGTAGCTGCCTTGCCCTGCCTTGGTTGTTCCTCCTTGGGCACCTGAGAACGGCGGCCGGAACCCTGCTGGGCTTTTGGGGGAGTACTGGTGTATGGTGGGGGTTGCCTGAGACCGGGGGCTCTGAGAGATGGAGGGCGAGGCTGAGGTAGTGGCGGTGACAGTGGGGTTGGGGGTGCGGGGAGTGAGTTTGATGATGGGTGGGACGCTGCTGTGTGTGGACTTAGTGAGAGTCGCGTGCATAGGTGTGATGAAGTTGGACAGTGGCTGGGGCTGTGACTGGACTCCAGGGAGTGTCTGAGCCATGGAAGGCGAGGGGGAGGATTTACTCTGGGGGGTCTGAGGCAGGTGCGGCGTCTGAAAGGTTTTGGGGGTCATGAACGAGGGCGATGAGTGCGTGAGAGGGCGAGACTGAGGTGATGTGATGATGAGCGTCTCACCAATGTTGCCTTTATTATTGCTGCCTTTGAGGAGGCCAGAAGGGGGAGTGGACACCCCTCCCTTCGATCCCGGGGGCACAAGCGGAGACGCAGTGGGTGGTGGGCGCGGCTTAGGTGGCGACGCCGAGGCAGGCATGTTGGCTTTAGCCACACCCAAAGGTCTCTGAGGGTTCAGCACTGACTGTCTGTGCACCTGCAACATGCCCTTGACCACCCCCATCCCATCCACCCTCCCTGAGGGCAGAGAAGAGGATGTGACAGACGCAGGCCGAGACAGAGAGGTGGAGGAAGACGAGGAGGTAGAGCTGTAGTGAGGTGCAGTGGAGCTGGGAGCACTGACGGAGCTCTTTTTCTGCTGCGGGAGGAGTGGGGAGGCGTGCAGGGAGGAGGGGTTGGGGGCTGTCTTGGGTCCATCTGGGGACGGGAGGCTGTCCCCCTGGGCCAGGACCTTGGCTTCGCTGCTGAGGATGGCGAGAGCCTGGGAGATGGAGTCCAGAGAGGAAGGAGTCAGGTCCTCATCGAGGGAGTCAAGACATATGGGCTCCGACGGCAACTGAGGTGGTCGCTTGGAAACCTGAGCAGCAGGGGAGGACGTAGCACCGGCTGAAGGTGTGGAGCGCTGGACCCACACAGCCTCCTGGTAACACAGACACACAAGAATGACAGTGACATGCATTACGCTCAGTAATGGAGTAATATCTACACTCAGTGGGCCAGTTTATTAGGAACACGTCTCAAACGTAGCCAGTCTAATCCAGTAAACCCTCCTTCACAAAGGTGATAATGTTCAGGTGAACAGCAGCACAAAGTGCAGCCTCCGCCCTGATCACACAGGTGAATCAACACACCTGTGATGAAACAGTATGAACACAAACTGCTGATACTGTTAGAGGAATGTTTTTTTTTCCTTCGGGCTCTTCTGTCAACATCACACACCTTATTTTTGTTGCGGTATTACCTGCCCTGCCTGAACTCATGAAAAGGTCATTTCTAACCTGATTTCAGCAGAAGAGAAGGGACTAAACCCACCTACTCCGCATGTCAAGGTTCAGCTGAAGCTATAACAATACTTGTGGGTATTTTCCAAAGTTACTGTCTTTTCGTTAAAAAGAAACCCACTTTGTTTCATCTGTGTTAATATTAACAACACAAAGAAGAAACTTCACTCGATAAATTCAGTGACTTTGGAAGATAAACACTCGTTTTGTGCAGCTCAGGCAGCTGAACTTTCCTGTTACAGTAGCTTCGGCTGAACATTAGAGAGGATTTTCACTCGGGACAGTAGAGGGGGGGCCTCTTCGTGGTTCCAGTGTGGACAAGAGGAATGGCTGGAACAACTAGGAACATTGCCGTTTGAAAGACATAGCATTATGAGGAAAGGTCTGTAATGTCTGGGATTAATGTTGAGGTTCTGTAAAAGTTTAGTAGTATAAGAATACTAACACATATGAAAAGCTTAACAGCAAGCAGAGTCCATGAAGCACGATGCGAAGCGCAGGGCGATCAAAGTTAAACTCACCTTTGGCTTGGCCTTGGGAGCAGGGAGCATCTTTTTCTTGGCTCTGAAGTTAAAACACAACATGAGTGACTGAAGCTAAACAATCACTACTGAACAATCAGGTAACATGTCATATGACTCACGTGTAGCCTGTGAGGTGACCATGAACCATGGTGCTCTCTTTGAATAGCATCCTGCAGAAACATACGGCACGCTCAGACACTACACTAGTTAAAGCTGTTGGTGAAGACATACAGTGCAACACTGTCAAACAAACCATCTTAGCAGGACCCACACACCTGGCCTGCATCCAGCCCTTAGGCCAGAGAGGTTTGACCTCTGTCTCCATGAAGGCTTTGAGGTACTCCTCCAGTGACAGAGAGTTCTTGCCCTCCAGCTCGTAGCAGCCCAGCTTCACCCGCACCAGGTTACAGAGCAGCGACCTGCAAAGCACATACAGCGCATGACAGTGACCATGGCCACTCGCATGAGACATGAATGTCCCTGCTCTGTGAAACTAACCTGAGTTTGTCATCCCAGATAAATTTCTTTCGAGGCCCCATCACCCTCTTTCCTGGTTTCTCCTCGTCATCGTCCTCTGAGCCGTTCTTCTCTCCCTCCTCAGACTGCTGCCTGACAACAGACAATTCAACATCATATATCAAATCATCTACTTTAAAGATCTTCTACCTGATGCCTTTTCAGCCCAGAGGCTCCAGTGAGACTCAAACCGAACTGACACCGTAAAGCCGAGCAGACTCCGTATGGCTTTTATTGATCGGATACAATGCGTTAACTCACACTATATGTTTAAATCGGCACAACCAGAATCCACGACTTCACTGCTCACACTGGACTTTTAAACGGAACCCCGAAGCAAGTTTAAATAAAAAGAAAACAGTTATTTTAGCCATCTTACTTTGTACATCTGACAAACAGCGGTAATCTGCTGTCAGTATTTCTCCTGCTGCAGATCACGACACCGTTTTGATGACACATTGCACAGCGTGGTGCTGCCAGAGCTCGATTAGCTTCATCCACATACTGTTTAAAAATGTATTGTATGCAGTCTGAGTCCTCTGGCTGCTTTTAACCCTCTCCATGTCAAACAGCCAAACCCATGTTAACCCTGGTTGTTGCTCTTTCTTTGTCCCACTCTCTCTGTGCTAAAGACGCCACCTCTTCACTCTGACAGCCGCTGGTTCAGACTTTTAGCCGCCCAGAGCTCCTCCATGGCTGTTTGACATGACTACTGGCTGGAAAAACCCTTCTTCTAACCTTGGCTAGGCGGCAGGCGGGGCTGATTTACAGACCGTACTTTGACAACACAGGGTGGAGAAGCTGGAATAACAACAGGAGGCTGTAGGCAGCAGAGGGTCATGGAGGGGGGTGTAGCTGGGAGACACCACGTCCTGTCCCACTGTCACTGGGCTTAGCAGACTGGGGGGAATCTGAGTTAATGCAGCTTTAATGATAAACGTGATCTGCTTTGAAAATAAAGGTGTCCTTACTTTGCCACTTTAGCAATGCAGTCCATGTTGTAGCGAGCAATCTGCTCTGGCATCACACTGCACACCGCCAGCTTCAGCTTCAGCAGGGGTGTTCGAAGACGGTCATCCTGGGCCACAAGAATAAGCACAGTCAGCAATCACACGTTAAATACAGAATCAGATACCAGGCACAGCAGCTTCACTTCCACACTGCTGCCTTCAGACACACCTGCCAGCTCACAGCCTCTTGCTACTGTTGTGTGTTGTAAAACACTAGAGAACATAAACCTCTGTGCATCCTTTGCTAATCCACTAAAAACTGAAAATGAAAAATTATTCTTTGGCTAAAGTGTTCCTGTTCCAGACAGCTGGTTTCAAAGCACATCAAAGTGAGCAGAGGTCAGAAGAAGTCCTCCTCGTGCACTGTGACCTGGCAAAATTCTGTTGTCCTCGTGTCTAATTACAATAACATCAATCGCTTCCACACACCTGTATGTTGAGGCTGAGCTTCTTAAGGCGTTTGAGCAGAGCTTCTTTATTGCAGGGCACAAAGGCCTCCAGGTGAGAGTAGACAGCTGAACGTACGTCTACAGGCTGCTCCTGCACCTGCAGCTCAATACTGCCACGCACAAACACAGGGATGTTTACACACATCTACATTTATACCCATGTGTAAAGTGAAGAAGTGAATGAACAGTACTCACTCCAGGAGGATGTTGTTCATGTCCAATGTGAAGAATTTCTTCCGACCCTCTTCATCAAACAGACGGGACGCCTGTGACAAGAGCCAAGCATCAGAGAGACTGTGACTGTTGTGCTGAGTGGACAAACAGATGTCACACAGGCCTGTACCTGGTATCTAACACTGGTATCTCTGAAGCCACAGCCACGTCTACTCAACAATAATGTCTGAACACGTTCTGGAGTCTGTGCTGAAGCTAGTTAAACAGTTTTTATGCAAGTTCCCTCTGGGGTGACATATAAAACTGCATTCAAGCCATTTAAGAGCATGATTTATAAGATGGATATTCTACTTCAGATTGAATTGACACTAAATAAAACATGATCCAGTTCGTACCGCTCTCAGGTCTTCGATACGCTTGGCGAGGGGCCCTGGGAGTCCGCTGGGCAGAGGTGGAGGGGTCATCATGTTACCCTGTGACACCCTGCTACCACCGGCTTTGTGTCCCATCCCCAAGGAGCCGTTCTCACCCTGTGCTGGACTTGAAGGCTGAGGAGAGTCCAGCATCCCGAAGTCCAGGTCACCCATTAAGTCCTGCAGGATGTCGTTATTGGCTGATCCCAGCAGTGACATCACAGCTGGGTCAGCGCTCAGGTCAGCCATGCTGCAGTCGTTGCCACCAGCAGCCTTGGGGTGGGTGTTGAGGAGCGTGCTGCTGGCGCTGGGCCGTGGCAGACTGGCGGGAGCCAGGTTTTTCTTACGCATCTCCTCCTTCTCCTTGGTGAAGCGCCGCAACATGTTGGCCAAGTTGATAGAATCCTTCATCAGCTTCTTCCTCTTCTTCTTTTCCGGTCGATGACCGGTCAGGGTTGAAACTCTGCCAGAAAACAAGAAGAGACATTTAACCCACAAGCACAGTGGACTTGCATCAAGAAGGTCTTCCCACGAAGTTTAATCACATCTACATGGGACACGACATCACCCAAAACAGCAGAAAACCTCTGATGTTATCGCTCTCAGGTGGTCTGCTTGACCATAAAGCTGTCACCAGCGTTTGGCAGCATGACTCACACAACTGAGCCAGAGCTGTTCGACTGAAATATCTTCAGCCAGGAACTAAAGCAGTCAAAATGTGTATGCAACCATCCTCGCCATGCAAATGTACAACCTTTTGGAATTTCATGGTTTTCTGCATTATGTTGTCATAAAATGTGATCTGATCTTCATCTAAGTCGAGAGTACTGATGAATATAATGTGCCTAATATAACAAAAAAAAATGTCTGATCTTTCATGTCTTTATTGAGAACAACCATAAAAAGCTCAAAAAGTAAGTGAAGCCTCGAGTTAATGACCTCAAAAAGCTAATTGGAGTCAGGTGTTAGCATACCTGGAGTTTTGTTAAGAAAATGAGTTTGGAGGTGTGAACTGATAAAACCACTCAAACCTGTGTGGTTGCTCCGCACAAGAAGAATATGCTTATGTGAGCCACGCCCCAACAAAAAGAGCTTTCAGAAGATCTAGGATGAAGAATTGTTGATCTACATAAAGCTGGAAAGGCTTAAAGTGATTTCAAAGACTTTAAAAATTCACCAGTCTACAGTTAGACAAACGATCTACAAATGGAAGAAGTGGGCGCCCAGTCAAAATGACCCCAAGAGCACAACGAAGACTCATCAATGAGGTAAAGAAACAACCTCGAGTAACAGCCAAAGATTTGAAGGCATCATTGGAACTGGATAACATCTGTGTTCATGAGTCTACAGTACGTAAAACATTGAACAAGCAGGGTGTCTATGGCAGGACACCACGAAGGAAGCAGCTGCTTAGTAAAAAGAACATTGCTGCTAACCCTAACCTGATGTTTGGGAAAGAGCACATTGACACTCCACAGCGGTATTGGCAAAATGTTTTGTGGACTGGTGAAACTCAGACTGAACTATTTGGAAAGAACACACAGCACTACATCTGGTGTAAAAAGGACACTGCATTTCATCATGAAAGCATCATCCCAACATTAAAGTATGGTGGAGGAAACCTCATGGTTTGGGCCTGCTTTGCTGCATCAGGGCCTGGCCAGCTTACAATCACTGAGGGGAAGATGAATTCCCAAGTGTATCAAAAAATTCTTCTGTCTGTACATCACTGCTACATTGGGGCGGCTGTGGCTTAGGAGGTAGAGCAGGTCGTTTCCTAACCAGAGGATTAGCGTTTCAATTCCCGGCTTGTGCAGTCAACATGTCAAAGTGTCCTTGAGCCACTTACTTTTTCTTGCCAATGTATCTAATTGTATCCTAAGTGTCGTATAGCAGTTTTTCGCAGAAGGACTCCCCTAAAGTTAGCAGCGTGTACATTAGTGCTGGTTGGTGTTTGTCGGTGAAGGCTGACTCCCAACGTTGTTCTTATTTTAGTTATTCTAGTTCGCAGAAGGTGAAACAAACTGGCTGAGCTGTTTTATATCCATTTCTGATATAGTTGTCAGGCTGCCGTCTTTGGAGCAACATTTGTCTTTTCAAAGCCAACTCACCTCCGTGCACATGATCCACGTCTAGTGATACATGTATTGACGCAGACTGTGAGACTGGTGGCGTCTGCGATTTGCCTGCTGGTGCTGTTTGTTCACTGACTGTTTTAACCTCAGTTTGCATTCTGAGGCAGCCATTTGTGATGCAGTGAGCGTGTACCGCCACGTTGCATAAAGTTTGAATGCGCAGTAGTCTGTCCTACCAAGTGACACCCTCAATAACATCAGCTCACACATCCTTAAAACAATAAAGTATAAACAGAGACGATACATATCACACACACCCCTGATGTGCACGACGGTGCCAAATCAAACATGATTAACTTCCAATTAGACAGCCACTTCGGTCTGAACAACTGCAGTTGTTTTTCTTTTAAACTAAACTACGCCTTTAGCTGCTTCATCACACAGACGTCTTTAAAAAGGAAACAAGACAGAAATGTTTCATACATACAAAACAGGAGAAATGATAAGCCTTGGGTGAAGCACTGAAGAAAAGTTAAAACCTTACCCTGGCTTTGGGACTTTGTTCTTCTTGGGCTTCTTTTCCTCCAGAATTCCACCATCTTGCTTTTTCCGCCTTTTCTTTATCACCCGCTCGTCGCCATCTTTCATCTTCTACAAACAGGACCAAACATTTGGCTTACAGTGGAACAGCAGCAGTATTAACACCGACATACCTGGCTATTTAATGCATATAATCTGCCTGTACACTCATCTGCTTCTCCAAACTGTGCGTGTGTTCAAGGACAGAGAAGCAGGAACCTACTTTGAAGTGATGATCCTGCGTTCCTGCATTTTCTCCCTCCGAGTCAGAAGCCGGTCTGAACTGCAGCGTGCCCGTGTTGATGTAGAAGCCTCCGTGTTTAGTGGTGAGAGAGGCCGGGACCAGCTCATCATACTGAGGCCGGGAGACAGTTACTTAATCCCTGTTGTGCACTATTGTTCTATGGATACTAACAGCCAAACATAATGTATACACTGTGCATTCAGACTTAGTTTACAAGAGATTAATGCAGCATCAGATAATGCTGACTGTACTTCACAAAACAAGGAATCAAGAAGACTAATGCTGCAGTTACACTTAAACCAGTTTTTAGTTTTTTGCCCTTATTTCAGAGTCACTACAGAGAAAGACCTGAAACATGCAGAGAGAGACGGTTACGACACAACAAAGGTGCCTCGGGCTGGGAGTTATGTTGTAGGTGCCTCAACCCTTAGGCTCTCAGGGCAGCTGGTTATAGTTAAAGAGGAGAAATGGGTTTTACCAAAGGCTTAAACTTTATTTGTAGTTTTCTGTGATGTTTCTAAAGATAAAAAATATCTGATAACATCATATTCAAATAATAAATAAAGGAATAAATCAAAAGTGACAACTCTCAGGGGACTAAACTTTATTTTTCCAGTGTAATTACACAACTTACTCAGAATTCACTTAGAAACAATACAGTGGTGCAAATAAGTATTTGATGCACCAATGATTTTCCAAGTTTTCCCACTTACAAAGAACGAACAGATCTGTAATGTTCATCGTAGGTACACCTCAACTGTGAGAGACAGAATCTACAAAACAATTCCAGTAAATCACATTGTTAGATTTTTAAATAATTTATTTCCATTTTATTACATGAAATAAGTATTTGATACAATAGAAAAACAGAACCTAATATTTGGTACCAAAACCTTTGTTTACAGTTACAGAGGTCAGACGTTTCCTGTAGTTGTTGACCAGGTTTACACACACTGCAGCAGGGATTTTGGCCCACTCCTCCATACAGGTCTTCTCCAGATCTCTCAGGTTTTGGGGCTGTCGCTAGGCAACACGGAGTTTCAGCTCCCTCCATAGATTTTCAAAGGTTTTGGTACCAAATATTAGGTTCTGTTTTTCTATTGTATCAAATACTTATTTCATGTAATAAAATGGAAATAAATTATTTAAAAATCTAACAATGTGATTTTCTGGAACTTTTTGGTAGATTCTGTCTCTCACAGTTGAAATGTACCTACGATGACAATTACAGAGCTGTCCGTTCTTTGTAAGTGGGAAAACTTGGAAAATCGGTGGTGTATCAAATACTTATTTGCACCACTGTATGTAGTATGACTATGCGACTCAAAGTGATATTAACTAACAAAGCCAGGGCTGACAGCTAAATATTAAGGTGTATAAGTGACCACGTGGTGTGTGTGTGCGCTTTAACAAAACGGGAACTCACAGCCTCTGAGTTGTCTATGAATGGGTCGGTCTCATCATAGCCATAGCCAATGTCAATGAGATCCTGCATCCTGTCCTTTTTCTTCTTCTTTGTTCCACCACCCTGCAAACACAGCCACCAAAAAACATTTAAAACACATCTGTGTTATGTTGGTTTACTGTTTACTTGCCCCTTGCATGGGGACATGTAAATGCAGATTGAGAGGTAGGTGCTGTACCAGAGTCACTGTACCAGAGTCAAATTCCTTGTGTCCAACACACATGGCCAATAAAGCAGATTCTGAATCTGATCTGTCATCCACACAACACAAGAGTACAACATCCTCATTAACAACGTATTCAAACATGTTCAGAATACAACACTTACATATTTGCTCTCAAATTTCTTGGCCAGCTCTTCTACCTCCCGTCGCTCCTTCTCATCATCAGCGAAGGGGTCGTTGGGGTCCAGAGGAGGAGCAAGCCCTTTAGGGACTGTTGACTTTACAAGCTTTACCTGATGACAAGGACATCATGATGGAATTGAAATTGGAACAAGAGGACTGCCATTATTTTACTCCAGAGAGTGACTGTCCTCATGAACTGCTATGAGCCACATCAGTCAGGCTTTCTTTAAAGGAGCACTCCACCAATTTTACATCTTCAGATTACTCAGCCAGTGAAAACGGCTGCTTGTAAGTGACTTGAAATATAGTGGAGGGTGTGCACTTTGAAAGATATGGTCATTTATATCATATTGAGGTAACTGTAATGACAAGATTCCAACTTGTAAATGGAATTCACATTCAGATCCACATTCAAAACTGGGACATGACAAAACACAAATGCCTACACTCATCATCCAAAGTTTGATTCACCAATTCCCTGCTACTCCCCCATTTTGTGGGAAATGCAAGACTAAATCGCTGCACTGTCCCTTTAACGTGTAATCTACCAGCCTAAACATGGGTTATTTTGCTGCCCCGAGTCATAATAAATAAATACTGAGCATAAGCATCGCAGTGTCTTGTTAGCTCTCATCGGTAACACCTCCTCCCGGAGCCTGCGGGGTCTCCACTCTCTCCTAACCTGAGTAAGAGTTGAGTGGACCAGCTCGCCGTAGTTGAACTCAACGGACCCTCTCTCATTTGGCTCGGGGAGTGACAGGTTGAGACGGACGGTCGGTTTCGTCTCCTCACTCTCGGTGTCACCTCCTTTCGTGTTCCCAAACAGACCTCCGCCACCTCCTGACCCCACTGCCGCGGCACTTCCACTTCCATCTTTCCCAAAACTGATGTCCACGGCCTCATCTTCGCGACGGCGCTTTTTGCTGGACTCCGGGGTCGGCGGCGACGTGTTGAACGATGAGATGGTGACGAACGGAACTTTCCTCGGTTCTCCCATTTGACGCTCTCCGTCCGACGACCGGGCAAGCAAAACGGGGAGCGCCACACTCCTTTGCCGTGGGCTGGAGAGCTAAACCTGGAGATGGTCGACAAGTAGTGCTAGCTAGTTGCTCTGCTAGCGAGCTAGCTTCCCCAGTGAGTGCTGCAGGCAACACAAAGACTTTTATCTCCTCTCAACCCGTTTTAATCCATATAGTATGATCTCCGACACCGCTCCCGCCACCTACGAGGGACTTTAACGGAAAGTAATCGCAGTTTTGAGTTCTTCCATGAAACTGGTTGTTTGCTACCGCAAGAAAGATTCTGTAGTAGCCATCTTGATCATTATTATCATTATTCAGTGGCTGGACGTGCGTCTGAAAAGAAAGCGGAAGTCGAAAAGTAAAGGGAACAGCGTTTGTCCAATGACAGCGCTGGAACACGCCCACCTGACCGTGTAGCGCGAACGTGAGGAGATGGTTGTTCTGCGCAGGCGGGGGGTCCGGAGCTCCACTGTTTACCAGACATGGAAGTAGTACTCAGATACTTTACATAAGTAAAAGTAGCAGTAGCACGTTGTAAATACTGCGCAGCAAGTGGAAAATCTGCGTTCAACACGTTACTTCAGTAAAAGTACAAAAGTATTATCAGCTAAATGGAGGGTATTTAAAGCAAAGCTACATATGGATGTGGCTGGTGACTGAATGTGATCTTTGAACTTTACTGCTGTAGTGTTTAAGGCTGTACAAATTTAACTATTTTATAGCCTAAAAGGAAGGCAGTGAAACAGAGGAGGCTAGCCCCGTGGTACAGCTCGCAGCTCCGCTCCCTAAAGCAGGCATCACGAAAAATGGAAAGGAGGTGGCGCTCCACTAAGTCAGAAGAGTTTTTCATAGCCTGGAAAGATAGTTTAATAACATATAAGAAAGCCCTTCATAGTGCCAGAACCGCATTTTATTCATCACGGATTGAGGAAAATAAGAACAACCCCAGGTTTCTTTTCAGCACTGTAGCCAGGCTGACAAAGAGCCACAGTGCTGTTGAGCTTAACATTCCCTTAGATCTCAGCAGCAATGACTTCATGAGCTTCTTTACAAATAAAATCACAACTATTAGAGAAAAAAATTGGTCGGACCACTCCCACAGCTCTCACAGATGTGCCATCTACTACAATGGCTTTAGAAACATCTGTAAGACCTCATTTATACTTGGACTACTTCTCCCCTATAGATCTCTCTGAGTTGACCTCAACAATTGCTTCATCTAAATCATCAACATGGCTCCTGGACCCCATCCCGACCAGGCTGCTCAAAGACGTCTTTCCCCTAATCAACACATCCATACTAGATCTGATTAACCTCTCTCTATTAACAGGTTATGTTCCACAGGCTTTTAAACTTGCAGTAATTAAACCTCTACTCAAAAAGCCTACTCTTGACCCAGGTGTCCTAGCTAATTATAAA